GCACGTGCCTGCTGTGACCGACAGCGTTCCTCACATCCATGTATCATTAGTTTCCAGATTTATTCCTGCCTCCACCTCTCCCTTCCTCTCCCCTTTCACCTTTCACAGTACTGACTTTGTTTCATCTCCGAAACGACAAACAACTTCCAGGCAAATTACAGACAAACAATGCAAATGCTGTTTTTAAATCCAGAATTTTGCTTTCACAAACACAAAAATAAGATGACAGAGTTTCACAGTTTACCGTACCGTTGAGACAAATGACAGCTACTGCAAGAATTGGCACTAACACGAACAGAAAGTGCTATAATCTTCAAAGATGAACTTTTCATTGTTGACATTGTACACCCGTCGTTTCCCACGTTGGCTGTAATTAGAGCTAGTGGTAAGTCGGAGGGTTTTTTCCAGCTTAGAGGAAGGCCTTTGACGGATGACTATCCGAGAATAAAAATTCCTTGTATTTGAATACAATGACTCACACGAGCAACAAAAAAAAGAGAAGTAATTTGATTCTGAGTGTAAATCGGGAATGTCAGAAGTAGCTTGACAAAATGTACACATATCTTTTCAATAATTATGCTTTCCTAGTGGCGTGTGTGACAGTTGTTGCGATTCATTGCTTGCCAAGAAACCCAAGCTTGAGCATTAATTATATTATATTACCCACAAACAAGAAGATGAAAGTGCAATTTAAAATAAAGGTGGAGCATATTTGCTGTAAAGCATTTTCTTTGTGAATTTTATTGTGAGTGCGAATCGCACTGATTAATCGAACATTATTTGCAAAGCACCCTTGTAGGCCACTCACAGAGATGAACCAGTGCTGCTAGGAAAACCAGAAAGAAGTGGCACACTTTTCGAGAACACGGATGACTTGGTGTTTCCCAGTAATGCCTCCAGCTAAAGAGAAAACGATTCGATGGTCAGACAAGACATTTATTTGTCACCTTTGTCAAGTTTTGCACTCGCTGCTGTGTAAACCAGCGTTTCTAGGAAGTAAACTGTAAATCAGCAGATGTGTGGAAAGGTTTAACCATCGAACGGCACACTTTTTTTTTTGTCACAGGGCCAGCGTGCCACTTTGGATGCTCAGAGGGCTGATGTGAGTGAAGCACATCCGCTCAATGTTTTCTTTATCTCACATCCACCTGATCACTATACCCCCCACTTAATCCACTGAAATGGTGCTTTTAATTCTATTATACAGAATTGAGTACGAATGTGACTTCTTTCAGTGGAATATACAGTGGACACCCACGAAATGCACAAACCAAAGATTTGTTTGTTATTTTACCCGACATGTTCAAGTCTTTTCAAACTCGGACGTGTGACTTATAGACAGGGACACACACACTTCCTTTTTGAGGTCCTAGGAGACCCCGGTGCATTTAGGAAGTGTTTCCACTTGTTTCGACTGGCTGACTCTTGATACTTTCGTTAGCCAAGCATTAGCCTTTCACTTCCTCTTATAGTGACTTTGGATTTTGTGCGTCTGCATGCAAGTTTAATACTCGTGTTTAGTATTTGTGAGCTATGAATGTTTTAATTTGCGTGAATGCAGTACGAGTCCAATGTAGCATGTTAAAGCTGTCAATGATTAGCACACAGTTCCGTAAAATCATTAGCTTACACATTTTAAGACTCTGTATAAGACAGGAAAGGTGCCGGCAGTGAGATGAGCTTATATGCTAATAGTTTTGAGTGTATGCTAGTCCCTGTCTCTCAGCTGTTTTCTGTTTTTGCTGTCAGGAATACGGTCGTTACTATCAGTTTAACACGTCTTAACTTGCCAGGGTTCAGGATGCCTCTGTGTGCCTGTGTGTGTGTGTGCCTGTGTGTGTGTGTGCGTGCGTGCATTTGAAACGTACAGGTTTGTGTGCAGACATTCCTCACGTACAAAGTGTGTTTTGCTCTTTGTAGAGTTTTCAAATCTCTCCTTTTTTTTCTAAACTTCTTTCCAGTACACAGAGAATCCCCTCCCATTTAGTCTGATATTGCCTATCTAAGTAATTTGAAACAATATCTGCTGTTTCGTTTTTACTGTCCTTATGTCAGTTGTCATTGAGTGAAAAATCCCTCTGAAAGAGACTCGTTTCTCCTCAACCACATCTTCTTCTTTTATAAAATGTATTTAGCTTGTCAGTTTCTTCAGAAAACAAGACTCAAGTTCACTTTCACATGTATTTTCTGTTTTGCTATGGTAATCAGTTTGTACTTGACGTTGCCTGCCAAATGAACCGTCATTGCTATTACTACCAACTATGGCTACGCACATTCATCTATCCATTAATTTTCTTCTGCTTAGTCAGTTAAAGTAAAGTGTGGGTGCCGAATCCCAGCTGACATGCGGCGAGAGATGGGGCATACCCCCAGTCTTTAACATTGGTGTCACAGAGACATTCATACCTACAGGTAGCCTAACTTGCATGTCTTTGTGGACTTGCAACTGCGTTTGCCTCAAGCCGCTTTATGTTGTAAGGTAGTGACCCTAGAATAATAGCAGGAAAACCCCAACAATCATACGGCATCCTTTGAGTGAGCACCTGGCAATAGTGGAAAGGAAAGGAGATGGTCTGCCTCAGACACTTCTCAGGAGAGAAGCCTCCTTTAGCCTGATTCTGCCACAAGTTTCTTCCTGTTAAAAGCGAGTTTTTCTTTTCCACTATTGATTAGTGCTCACTCATAGACGGTCGTCTGATTGTTGGGTTTCTCTTTCAATCCCGTAGGCTCTTCACCTTACACTGTAAAGTGCTTTGAAGTGGCTGTTGTGAATTGGTGCTATATAAATAAAACAGAATTGAATTGAATGTTTCCCTCTCGCTAGCTGTGAATTGACCGCAGTATTACTTCCACTTTTCTCACATGGGGGCAACTGGACATGACACAGACTTTCCAGTGGCTAGCTGGCAAGTTAAAGGCCATTTAATGTCCTAAGTGAATGAGTGGGACATTTGCATTCTCACATACGTCTCTGTTTGGTAGTTCAGGGCTGCGGTGCATGAATGGGTATTAATTATGTATTTAGCGGTCACGTGATCAGACAGAAGAGACTGAGGCTAAACCCTAAATCTAAATTCATTACTCTTCTAAATCCAGAAGAGCGATGGTAATTTCCCAAGTTGGCTGCAGCAACATGCCTGCCAAATACATGAAGGGGGAAAAAAAGCAGTATGCATATATCCATTGTTTGTGCTCATACCAAATATTTCTATGCAGATATTCTTTTTTTTCTGTTAATCACATGCTCCATGAAGTGTCTTAATCAAAAAACAACCTCTCCATAGTGCTATTGTTAGCAATACAGTAATACCAGGAAATGAATCGTCGGTGTAAGTCACACTGTAGTGCAGTAATACACACAGTATTTACTGTGCTTGTTCAGGAATGGCCTCTTGCACTTTTGGTAGTACGTGACGACAAGGAGGGAGAAGGCTGTAAGGAGTAATCTTAGTTTTTGATTGTTGCATTTCAAGGAAAAGCTAGTTGGGTTTTGCCAAGATAGGCTTCTGTTTGAGCTTTGAAGACAGATTCACGCTGTGTATATTCTTAGAAGAGGTTTCCCTCTAAACTAACAGAACAGAGTGAGCCAGTAGGGTAGTCCTTATCCTTTCACACAGGCCATTGTTGACAACACTCATAAGCTGTATACTGTGAGCATATCTCTGGCCCACGACAACCCTCACTCTCTTTCTCTGACCCCCTTCCCCTCTGTTAACTTTAGGGCCGCTGAAACAATAGTATTTACTTCACAGACCTGCAGAGAATCTCATCAGCTGCCAACAGGAAAACAAACACACAGAGGCACACAAACACATTGTACACTGCAGTGACGCTTGCGTATGGATTTTGTGCCACTCGGTCTTCATGCTATTGTGTTTAAAATGTGACACGATTGAATGTGGGTTTGATTTTAGAGGAGCAAATATTTATCTGGTCCCGTTAGTTTGAGCTGATATGGAGCTATTATTTGCAACAATTTGCAGAACAACGCGCTGTTTATGAATTCGGTCAACGTGGGAACTTGTTCTCGGTTCGACATTTTGCTCCTTTTCAGCGCCTAAATTTAAAAGTTTTTGGATATTACTAGAGTAGCTTTGCATTTTTCCGCTTGTGTGTAAAATAATCTGTTTTACTAAAGTCGATCTTAAATGGAGTGTTTATATAATTTTTTATTTTTTGACCAGGAAGTGAAGTGAGATAAAGAATCTCTTTTACGAGAGCTTCTTGCTCCGTGATAAGCAGCGTTAACCTAGTTTTTCTTGTTTTTGTTTTTTATAAACGGGAGAATATGAGTGTCCTAGTAAATGCCTGCACAAGCATGAAATCATGCAAAATCCACACAGGACAGTCCTGCCAGGTTCAAACCAGGACTGTCTTGCTGTGAGACGAAAGTTAAATCGCTTATTTAACAACCAAGTCCAGAGGTTTAAAATAATAGTGATTTTGCAAGTGCAAATCAAAAATCATTAGGTAATTCTGCAGCATGACAATGATGAAGCTCCCAAAATGATTTGTTTTAGGATGCCATTAAAAGTTCAATACGGGCCCAATCATTTTCCTACAAATGCTATTTAATAACCAAGTTAAACATCCAACAGCTTAAGCAGACTGTGACCCTCGTTGGGATCTGGTCATGATCAAAACCATTTCCATGGTGGTCTGAGTGGGATGTGAGAAGCATCACCAAACAAAAAGTTTAGTTTTTAACTTTCTTATACATTGTTGTTGAGATCATTTTATATTTTATTCCAGTTTTAGCTCTTGCAGGACACTGACCTGGAAAAGCCGGAAAAGCAGCTGGGTGTTGAATTCCCAACATGGATTTATCCCTCCCTCCATTTATACACACACATACTGTAAATAAGCATGGTGTTGAAGCAGAAGTTTAAAAAAAAAGACTTTGGTGTTAGGCTGGAAACGTCGAAACTTCTGAACTGAGAACACTAATGAATCAAAAACCACAATGTTTGCTTGGCAAATCAAAAATTTTGCGGTCGGTCCACTGGACCGGCAGAAGCACAGGCATGAAAATCATTAAGCTTTAGCTTGTGGCTGTGGGCGTGTAGTCACGCCTGGGCCAGCCGCAGTGTCAGAACATTGATCTGTGATTGGTTGATGGGGGAGAAAAAGGAGCCTGAGGTTCAGTCAAATCAGTCTGATTTGCAGTGGTTTAATGCAACAGAGGCGGACTTTAATTTATCATTTAGATTCTGACGTCTACTCCATTTTAGTTGTGTTTTTAACTGTTATCAATACTTTATGATGTACAAACACTCAGCTCTGCTTTACTGTATCGTGATACTGTAAGTATAAAGCATGCTCACTGTGACAGACAGCAACAGGTTTAAGCTACGCCGTCTAAACCCTCCTCACTCCCATGCTTACAATCACACATGCTGTCCACTAAGGTCGAGTACAGTGGTGTGTGTGTGTGTGTGTGTGAACTGAAAATAAAGATATTCAAATTTACGTAGAGTCATAAAAAATAGAAACAATTCTCTGTACTTCTGCGTCCACCTGTGTTTTATTTCCACGTCATTTGCTGCCACTCTCTGCCCTTGTCCTCTCTTTGATTCAGCTCCCCTCACTTCTTTTTACTCTCTCTTTCTTTGCCTGTAGGTTTCAGAAGCACGTCCACACATACAGGATATTACCAGATGACGAAGGTTTTCTGGCAGTGCAGGTACAGTAAAGACATTCTCACACTCGTGCTTTCAGCAGCAGTTGGCAGGCAGAGATGCTTTCGTTGGCTCTGAGCTCCCTCTCTTACACACACACACCAACAGCAGGGTCTTTGTGCCTTGTGCTCAACAGCTGTGAATACCGGCTACCAGCAACCTCACACACGCGAAACACAACACAGGGCTTCGAATCATGTGGCCACAGCACAGCTGTCTTGTCTCACTGCTGTATGAGTTTTGGGGTCTTCAGCTGTGACGCTGAAAAGTCTCATTTTAATTTATCCGATTGAGTTTGTGGCTTCTTCCTGGTTTGAATTATATTTAGCCTACAGGGCTGCAATTGCTTACCAAACATTCATTGTGGAACAATGGAGGCTACCAGAAGGTTGGGCAATGTGAGTTCTTGTAGCCACGGTGTTTGGATGAACTTAATGCATCTGTCTCTTGTTTCCCTTCCTTCCTCGCGCTCTCAGACCTCTCAGGGCGTGCAGCCTAAGCGGTTTAAGACTCTGCCAGAGCTGGTGTCATTGTACCTGCAGCCCAGCCAGGGTCTGGTCACCACCCTGCTTTACCCCGTGGAGAGAGAGGAGACAGCTGTCAGTGACGACAGGGACTATTCCGGTAATTTCCGAGCTAACACAAACACACATGCCCAGATGGGGTGCCCTCGTCGTCGCATGTTAACCGTGACCTTCTGTGTATTTCTGACTGGTAGATGGAGAGGATGAGAAGCCGCCCCTCCCCCCTCGCTCTTCCTCCACCTCCACTCCCCCTGGACCAGACACACCCACAGACAGGTACAAAGTCCACAGAGAGAAACATCTGATTGTGTCCTGTTTATAACTGTAGGGAGCTTAATCACAAACTACCTGCAACCACCAACCGCGTCACTCGGAAGTCACGGAAGTCACACAGGGGAAGTATGTCGCTTCATTGTGAATTATGTCACAGACGTATTGGAAATCATATAATCTCACACGTGCTCACAAAAATAATAAGGAAGCGTTATTGTGGTGATATGAACACACACGTTACTCAGTGACTTTGTTTGTTCCAGTTTATATGGCTACACACGCACGCGCACACAGATTATCAACTATTAAAAGCACTCGTTCACACAACTTCATGCACGCTCATTAACAATTACTTCCTCTCTGTCTGCATTAAGAAGGTAAACCACATCCTGCTCGAAACCACGCTGTTCACGGATGGTGTGCGGCTTTGATGAGGTGCGGGCTGTAGCTGTCGGGCGCACACAGATGCGTACATTTCAAATCACTGTCAGTTAATAATACTACTAATGCGCACTATTTTTGACATTTGCCGTATGTGATAAATAAATACACTTTTACAATTTTTTCAGTGGGAACCAAACCACTTCACACAACAGTTGGTGAAGTAACAGAAACGTATGCATTACCCAACCTTGGTTAAAGTGTCAGCCAGTGAAACAATATCTTCCTTTCAGTTCTTTCAGTTGTCCTGTCTCGAGCTGCCATAGAAGGAAATCAACAATGCAAAATAAGCATAAAATGCATTACAGTTTAGAGGAAGTAAAGGGGGTACACATGCATGTCCTTTAAAAATCCTCAGGTTTGCAGCCACGGTGTGGATCGTATGAAAGGGTTGTAAATGCTGAAAATTAGTCTGTAAAAGGTGTTTTATTTTTTATAGGTTGGCTCTTTGCCAGTTCACGTGGTCCAGGGTGTCTATGAGTATTCAGGCAGGCATAATTTAGCTCAGAGGAAGTATGTGACTCTTTAAAAAAGAAAAAAGAAAAAAGTCGCAACTACACAGATGCCAACTCTTTTGCCGACGGGCGCACACACCCATCCTACTTCTGGCAAACTTTGACGTCCATCTTTATTTTCCTTTCCAAGGGGTGTGGAGCATCTGCAGATTTAGCAACTATTCTTTTTTTTTTAGGTATCACCTGGAACTTTAAATAGCTCCGTGTGACTTCTAGCAGTAAATGCATCAATGTAATACTACAGAGCAAATAAACAAAATCAAGAAATATGGCAGACAAAAAACTGAACGGTAACAAGCTCTAAGTAGGCCCCAAAATGTTTTCATGCTTATGTCATGCCTTTACAGAATTACTATGGTGCAACTTTGCCCATGGCAGTGGAGAACGTGTGTGTATAAAATGTCAAAGCTGCAGTAGGTGTTAATTTATAAAAGACGAAATGTGGAAATTTACAGGCCTGTCTTGAAGCTCTCCCTCCTACCCACAGGTATGGATAGAAATAAGTAATTCTTGGCCTTTGTTCCACTGCAGCTTGCGTCCTACATTGGTTTCCTGTTTGTATTACTGTTCTTTCACCGCTACTTTATACCTCTCACCTAATGTGTTGTTTAAAAAAAACAGAAAATGAAGCTAGAGCAGGGCGATGCGACCAAAAATATTTATCACGATATACATACAAAATTTGCGATAACGATATAACTGACGATATAATTGACACGAGACAAAATACTTTACAACTCCTCAACTTTATTAGTGCAAAAAAAAAAGAAAAACCCAAAAACATCAATGTATTTTCACTTAAACAAGCAGCTGTTTTTTTATGTGCATTAAAGTTA